AAAAAGGAGAGGAAAAACCGTACACGGTAATAACTAGTGTTGAGATTGCTCATGCTCTTGGGGCTCGAAGATAGAGACAGCCGGGAACGTTCGGGGTGCTCAGGAAATACATAATGTTTGAATTATTTCAGCAATTTTACTAGCCAAGCAAAGCCAGATTTAAACCAGGCCCCAAAGTACCTTGCTAGAGTGCTCAAACTGACAAGTCAGTGAGCTCTGCTTAGCGCAAACAGCAAAGGCGTGTCTACCCCACATGACAGTGCTCAGCTACTACACGAAAAGGAGCGAAATACGATATTGATACTGATATGATAGCAATAAAAAGAACAAATTCTGCAGTCATCGCCACACTACAACGAAGTCATGAAAGTTTACCAGAATTAATTTTCTTGTCACATTCATCAGTGGAAAGTCGTGACTGAAGAGTAACCATGCTGAACAATGATTAAATATACATTCAATGATGTGTTACGAGAACAAAATACAGTGCCAAAATAGAATGAGGGAACTCCTCTTCCAAACTAGCTGAGGAACTGGACTTCCTTAAGTCCGTTTTTCTAAAGAACGGGTACCCTGACGATCTATTGAAGAAACTCATGAGCGAAAGGCTGGATAAAAAGGAAAAACGTTTTGGCCCGGACAAATGTCCCACGTATCTTTCTCTCCCCTGGAAAGGTAACCTCTCATTATCCATGAGTCGCTTGGTACGGAAAATTGTACAGCAAACTTACTACGCGGTACATTTTGTACCCGTTTTCACAACTGTACGTGCGTTCACGGTGAGGAAGGATGTCCTACCAACCCAACTTGCATCTAAATTGGTATACCAATTTGAGTGCCGACAATGCGGTAGTCGGTACGTTGGTAGGACTCTTCAACATCTGAACGCACGTATCAAGCAGCACGTCCCACTGCATATGCTGACTGGCTCGGCACGGGCACTGCGACCAAAACGCGGCAGGCCACTGAAGAACCCTCGGGCACAGCCATCGTTAGCACAATTTCCGTCATCGGCAATAGTGCCTCCATTACCCGTATCGAGAGCCTTGGAGTCGGGTAATGGGCATATTGTCACCACAACACAATGCACCATAACAACACAAGATAACACACCACAACAACATTCGGCTCAAGACCAAAGTGGACGCTGTGATGAGGTAATGCCCTCATCGCCGTCTTTGCCGTTGCCTCCCCCAGAACCGCCACCTACATCTATCATCGGCGGTACTGGGGCTGAGTCTGTGGTGTCGGTGGCACGTGCATATATGGATGAGGCAAGCACTGATTGTGAACAACGAGAAAGAAGGCTGAAGGGAACGGAATTCAACAAAGAAAGTAACACGATCAACATTCAAAGACCTAGACGATCAACGGCTAATTATTCAATGAATTATTACAGTACTGGAGATCAAGCATCGGCGAGGACACTGGGAACACAAGATTTAACAACAACAACAACAACAACAACAACAACAACAACAACAACAACAACAACAACAAGTTGCCATCAAGATCAAAGGAGGAGTCAACGAACAGAGGTTAAACAACGTCAAACGAGCCTGGGACCGATCAGTGTTGATGAGGAGAATGACACTGAGGACGACACTGAGGACGAGTTGGGAGATGAGACGGAGGACGAGGCTGCGGTTGTTGGAGACGAGGAATCAGATGGTGATTGTGATCGTAAGAAGTCTGCCGTTTTTCTTCACTTGTTGTCTCACCCTAAGTGTCTGCAGGTGTATGATGATTTTAGTTTTTCTGTTCTTTGTCGTGCACGGTATGCTAGTCAGTTGAAAGTACTTGAGGCTGTTTGTATTCGTTTGCATAAGCCTGATCTTTGTAAGCAGAAGAAACATGTAGTTGCGTTAAAATTGTTTTCGTAGGTGCACAGCATGATTGTTTGTCTCACTACACAGTTTTAGCGTTATAATTATTAGTTTTTCACCCACCGTTGCACTTAGCTCTCACTTCACTTCTATTGTCTCACCTTCCCTCATTCTATTTTGGCACTGTATTTTGTTCTCGTAACACATCATTGAATGTATATTTAATCATTGTTCAGCATGGTTACTCTTCAGTCACGACTTTCCACTGATGAATGTGACAAGAAAATTAATTCTGGTAAACTTTCATGACTTCGTTGTAGTGTGGCGATGACTGCAGAATTTGTTCTTTTTATTGCTATTATAAAATTGTTGTCTCCACGTCGATTATTTGCATACTGATATGATATTGATATTATCAGTTCTAGTTACATTGCTGAAGTTCATGCATAATTCTCTCAACACCTAGAACGTCCTCAGCTGTCTCTATCTTCGAGCTCCAAGAGAGTGAACAATCGCAACACTAGTTATCACGGTGTACGTTTTTTCCTCTCTAGTTGTCCACAAACCCAGCGTGCTATTGAAATTAAAATACTTGCCGGGTGGGAAGGAGGGAAGCAGCTACCACCTCCAAGGGAAAGTGAGATGGTGGAAGTGCCTGTGGGACATAACGTTGCTAGTACAGCAAGCTTCGCCCACCGTACATGTACATGTATGATCCATGGCATCACTACTTTTTTTTTTACGGGGTAACGGCCTCTTTTACGGGCAAAATAAAGTCATGTAGACGTGAAAAAAATTGAGATACCATGAAAGTTAAAAAAGAATTTTATTCAAGTACAATACATTGGGAAACTCCAAGAAATTCCACGTAAAACAGACGGAATTCAGTTTTCAATGGCCGATGCCTACCCCAGCACCATCCTGCGTCGACAGGCCTGTCAGGCGCCTTCTAGACCCGCGTAGCCGGAGGTCGACTGCATGGATCACTGCAAATTGGCTGCGAACTCGCACCCAAGCCATGATGATAGAAAATGGCTTGTCCCACTTGAGGGCGAGGCGACCAGCAAGTCGCTTCTGATAGCTGGCGTATTCGCGATGTAGCACCCCATCAGTGGAACAAACCAGTGGTGTGAACGACCCACGGAGGTCCTCGGAGGCCTGACGATACTTCTTTTTCTTCGCGTTAGCAGCGCGGTTGGAAGTAGCTTCCCAGGATGAATGGGAGTAACTGGGTGCGTTGGCATCACTACTGGATACATGTACATGTACATGTCCCAGCATATTACTATACAAAGTAGAGGGAAACTAAAGTAATCACCGAATGCGAATATACTACATGTATATACAAACTAGCATCATACAAATATTGCCAAACATATTTCCTATTCTTCTGTCCGTGTGCTTTTAGCAGGGCACAGAACTGAAGGTGGCTGGGCTCGGAACGGAGATCAGGCATGTAATATTCGGCCATGGATCCCTGCCTCTAGGCTTTTCTTCGTCCATGTACAGATGTCCAGGTGGACTCACTTCTGCCTTATAACCCGTGGCTCATACTGTGGTCTAATACTAGTACTGAGGCAGGCATAGTGGGATGGTCTAAGACCATGATTGAGAAACAGGTTACCAGGTTCAAGTCCTGCTTGGAAGCGGAAGGAAGTTTTCCAGCCGTGCTGCGACCCACAGTTAATTGGGAACTCGTGGCCTGGCACGGGGGTAACATGGATGCAGCCAATGGGATTTCGGTCTTTGACCACTTGGTGGTGGGTCTGATCTACTCACCTCCCACCGTTTTGACGCTGCATCTGCGCCTTGATCCTAGAGGGTGGTGGCGTTCCCACGGCGGATTCGGAAAACTCGGCTTCCAGCCGAGTCTCACGCGACCAGTGAAATTTTTTATTTTATTTTTATATACAAACTAGCATCATACAAATTTTGCGAAACATGTTTCCTATTCTTCTGTCCGTGTGCTTTTAGCAGAGCACAGAACTGAATGTGGTTGGGCTGGGAACGGAGATCAGGTGTGTAATATTCGGCCACGGATCCCTGCCTCTAGGTGTTTCTTCGTCCATGTACAGTTGTCCAGGTGGACTCACTCTGCCTTATGTAAAAAAACCTTACTTTTCTTTACTTTTTTTCACGTACAGATGTCCAGGTGGACTCACCCTGCCTTGTAACCCGTGGCTAATTACTGAGGTTTAATACTAGTGTACTGTGTACTGTGGTGAAGCCAAGTGTGACCGTTGTCTGGGCATGAGGGTAGCAATGAAATTGACGTCATCGATAACAATTATCACGTTCGTTGATGTGCCGCTGGCGGAAGGGCGAGCTGCACGTTTTTGTCCTGGAGTAATTTGATTCCCCAGGGCGGTCTATTACAGCAATTATATACAATCTCTCAGACAACCAATACTGCATGAACAGCCAAGATCCGATTAAATGCAGTAGTGTTACAGAGGCAGCGATGTGTGTAATCAAGAGTGAGGAATTTCATACATGGATTTAGCGGGCCTAGCAAGAGTGATTTAGGTCACACCTTTGTACTTGCCAAGCAGGAACTTTGCTGTATGGCGATACTTCGACACAATCTCCGTGCACTTGTTGAGGGAGATTCTGCGGTCTAATTCAAGGATGTGGTATTTCTCGGCTATGCAGAGGTTCCAGCGCTTTGTGACGTAGGAGTAGGCATTAGCACGCTCCTTGACGACCTAGGAAATCTCCTAAGGTCTATCCATACGGCTCCACACATGCCTAGCCAGGTGAGTGCTGCTATCATAGCGCTCATGGTGCATACAATCTCTCCAAAGGTGGTCGCCTCCTGACAACACGTCAGGAAAAACAACAAAGGGTGAAACCTGACGCGCAATGTTACATTAAAGATATCATTTTCCGTGATGCGAAGACGATACACATGTACGTGTGCATGTACATACGTGTTGTTTGAACACACCACGGAGGTTTAGATGACGCTGTGTGTAAGTATCGCTGGCCCTAGTTGTGATCACCCTTTGTGTCTTGTTTGTAATACTTCATATCGATACAACGGTCATTGCAGAGTAGAAGACAGCGTGCACAATGCAAGCTGCTCAGGATTTTCTCCCCTTTCCCTGTGCACTGTACTTGCTAACAGATTGGGTATAAAAGCAAAAATAAAGTTCGCACGTCCGCGTAACAACTGGTTGTACAATTGTGTTGAGAAACACAAACGACTTTAATAGGAAGTTTCTCTGGGTATAAGGAGGCCATAATTGTAGTAGCAGGCGCAGAAAGGCTAGCTTGGACGTGCCACACCTCTTGACATCATAGCTTTCAAAGGAGTGTAAAAATTGAGAGTACAAGTAGGAGGATTTGCAGAAGAGAGTGCAGCGATTTATCGACTTTTAAACGCAGGACAAGTTTGACCCAGCGGCCGTGGTTTGAAGTTTATCGAGTATGGAAGCAAAACTTCTACTCATCGAGTACTTCCAAACCGGCATGGCATTCTCCAGGAGGGGTCGGACATAACACTAGTATAAACTTGTGACACTGATAGTGGAAAGTGGGAGGAAATGCAAGATATTTCGAAGGAGAAAAACACGAGAACGAAATTTAAAAGGCAATATGATCAGAAAAATTCAAAAGTGGATGAAAATAGGACACCGATATAATGGTAGATAGGGAGACTATCGCTGTTCATGGAAACGGTCCCAGAAGTAGCTGTGGTTGGGGCAAAGATGATATTAACACATAGTGGGGGTACAGCTGATATGTCACTAGACCAGGGCAGACAGCGGTCTAGATCAGATTGGAGGGATGCAGTGTGTATCGATCTGGACGCGTCAGGCACGGAGCAGCAGAGAAGATTGGAATTGTCAGCAAATAGAGTCATTCCACCACTATAGGGTACACTGACGAGGGAATCTATGCTCATGCTAGATAAAAGTGGAGTAATATGACTGTGAACCTTGGGGAACTGTGGCAGATGAGGGAGAAGGCATTGAAACCGACTCGCCGACACGAACACGCGGGAATCGACCAGATATAAAGTCGCGAACCCAGTCACGGGTAGACGAGCTGCACCAGCCAGAAAGGGCATGCAACATTTCTTTGTGACTAAGTGCAGGGGCAGTGTTACGCACTGCGCTGTACTGAGAGATAAGATGGTCAAGCATTCACTTGTTGAACTTCCAGATCATGGAGTATCTCACTGAAGCATGGACGGTTGGGCGCTTCTGGTCTCAAGCTGGCCTCGACCAGATGACGATAGTCATAGGGCATACCTGGTGGAATAGGCAGCTGGTGACCATTCTCTATTGCCTTCTCTACGTCCGTCTCACGCTTTAGATGTCCGTATGGCGTTTGCCTGGTGAAGATCTCCCAAAGCACAACGCCATAGCTGTGAGCATGGTGACAAGAGAAAAACACCATACAGGCACACAATCAACTACACACCTACATGACAAAATGGCCCGCACTGGGTGCTACGGCCCTGCCTAAGGCAGGGCCGTAGTACCCAGTCCGGGTTTTTAGGCCATGGCTGGAGCTGTCTTCGAAAACGTTTACCTATCCAATTCAAGCGAAATGTTCAACAATATTCATTGCCGCTCCAGTGTCCCATTCGAGGAGACCAAATGAAATCCCCATGCTAGGACCATGTAAACACACGCCTGGGAAAAAGGCAATAGAATGCAATGGGAAGAAAATTTGACTTTCGCCACCTGGTCTTGTACCTGTACATTTGCTCTCGGTCATCTAATCATGTTACATTTCACTGGGAAGGCATTTACTGACAAAAAATAACATTTTGGCAAAATGCAAGAAGCTGAGAGTAGACTACACGAATAATTTGTTGTGTCCTAGATCAAGAAAGTGTAGGGTACGAGTACATGGTTGTTGAGAACTACACGATCGTGGGAGGGCTCTGTACGGTGGTAAGTTTATGAGTAATCATGGTTATACGTAGGGTGTTGATTGTGAGCACGGGAGTGCAGTAGGCCTTTGCGGATATTGCCGGCAGAAAAATTGACAGAATACGGTACTTTTTCTGGTAAGTTTCATGCATGTTTGGCATGTGGATAAAGAAATGGAGCAGAATTCGAGGAATTGCCCGCCATAAGATTTGTATGGTTCTGCCAATTTCACTGCTTTTCGATCAGAATCTGCCACCTTTTCGAGCATTATCCGCCAATGCCTAGTATAGAGTGCAGGGGTAGTGCAAGAGTAGTGCAGAGCAGTGTAATGTAGTAAGTAAGTAACATGTGTTATCCATATCAAGGACTTTTAATACATCTAGACTTGTTTGGCCAAAGACATTCAGTATCCATACAAATATTGCCCGAGCTAAGCCACTGACAATACCGGTAGTGTACTGCTCCCTGTTTAGAATCAAAACGATAAAAAAGTACTTTTGCTGGGAAGTAGATGTTATTGCTCGTTTTGGGAGAAAGTAGCTTTGCTGCACAATACACAGCGTTACTGTGATCATGGTTTCTAAGAGTGAGTAGACATGGTTAGCATTTTACATTTCACGCTATTTTCGACTGTCGGCCTGTACCGTTTTTGTGTGTGTGTGTAAACATGGCATTTTACCATTCACGCGCTAGATCCAACGGTACTCGTGCCCAAAACCCAAAATACCGTCGGTTTGGTATCGTTTCGACAAAAAAAAGCTATGTTTAGCAGGAGAACGAAACGGTAAGACTCCAACTAGGTTTACGTCACAAGTCGATCGCTGCGTCAGGAGTCAGGACTAAGAAGTCGAACTGCTAACCGTGTCCCGAAAACACGCAAAAAACAGTAGACTCGCCCTCTACACGCCGACCGTCGAAAATAGCGTGAACGGTAAAATGAAAACTATGTCTATTATAAAATTACACCTTTCACAAATTTCCCACTCACCTGTAGATATCGGCTTTCTCGTTGTAATGCTCGCCACGTACTGACTCCGGTGATTTCCAGCGCAGAGTCCCCACACCGCGAGTCATCACTGATGCCGAATAGCGCTGATACGTCTCTCCATGGTTTGTGGAGACGTCGGTGAGTAGAGGCGTTGACAGACTGGTCTCCTGGCTTCCTGATAGTGCAAGCGAGCTCTTGGAATCACGTCTGTCAAGTTCTGCTCCGGAACATTGAGGCTCGATACTAGTAAGCACATTTTCTCTGGGGCTTTCGCCTACGGACTCCGCGCCCGCAGCCGCGTTTGATGACTGCGTCAGGGCAGTTTGAGAGGCGCTGGTACTGGTGCTGTTCGCTGCTGTCGCCTTCTCCTCATCCATAATGGCCATAAATCGCGAGTTGCCAAGATCGCCGATTTTCACCACCCACTTGTCGCTGACTAGAAGGTTGGGAGATTTCAGGTCTCGGTGCAGGCGTGGCGGGTTGGATTCGTGCAGGTACGTCATGCCTCGGGCTGTGTCCAGGGCAAATCTCAGATGATCGTGGGGTGTGAACACGTTCCCGCCATCGTGGAGTACATTGTGGAGAGAACCTCGCCGCAAGTACTCCATTACGATAAACGGTCTTTTGCTGGAATTATTTGTGCCAGCTCCCAAGAAGATGACGATGTTGGGGTGACGAATTGAACGCAGGACCTCAGCTTCCTGGACGAACTGGTCTGTCTGCGAGGGATTTCTACCAGTGTATTTAGGGAGTACTTTCACAGCTACTAACATGTCGCTGAGCTCGGCTAGCCACACTTGCGAGAATGCTCCCCTGGCCAGTTTCTTGGTGAGGTTCAGCGATGACCAGCGTATTCTTGCTCCGATGTTGATCTGGTCTAGCTTCTTCTGATACAGTCGCATACTCTTGTGTTTGTCCTGCAGCTCTCTCTCCTTGAGCTTGAGTAGCTGGTTTCTCGTGTGGTATTTTCGTAGAGCAAGAGCAATGAAAGAGACGAGGAGCAGAATAGCGGATGCAATGGCCAAGCTCACCAGTGGTAGTCTACAGTTGTCATACGACACGTAACCAAAGTTGCAATGGCAGCTGGCGCTGACGTCGGTCACGATGCACACCCCGTGCTGATGGCAATACTGGGAATGGCACGGAGATAATGCAATGCAGGAGCTCGATCCTACAGTCTCTGTCGTTGTGAAATTAGGACACGGCTCGCATCTGTCATGTAGAGTTGAAGAAAAGAAACCATGCGGACAGGGTTGACATGTCTTATCCTTATGCAGCTCGTACCCCATCGGACAGAGCTCGGTCTCAATCGTTAGATACCTTTCTTGCTGTCTGGTGATTGTCAATCCCGAGAATACATAGAGACGCTGCCCTCTCACGATATGGTGATTAAAGATGCTGACTACATTTGTATGGTCGATAAGGGGCATCACCCTTCCTTTCGATTGCAGATTGGAAGTATTCAGAAGGATAAGCTGTGCAATCGTATCTGGTTGAGCGTTGGCAGTCCAACCACCGAACAATAGTATGCCATTCTTGTTGTACTGAACACTAGCGAAACCTGTTCTCTTAGACAGACATGGCTGTACGGAGACTTGGTTGATTCGAATTGTACCGTTGTCTAAGTATCGGGAGATATCCAGTGCCATTATGTAGTCAGTACATGCTAATGTGTCACCGAAAACGAAAATAGTATTATTGATCTGTGTTGCCCGCGGATTACGAACACTTGGCATTACTGCGCCAAAGAGATTGGTGGGTTTGAGAATCTTCCACGTTCCTTTACAGTGGCCTGTACTTTCAAATGTGAGTATCCAGATATCAGAGAGATCATCTGATCTGTAATTGTCCCACCCCCCATAGACCAGAAGATGTCTGTCATCGATCCGTACTACCATGTGATTGTATCGTGTCGACGGTTGAACAGTGCCAGCGTTAGTAAATTCCATACAGGTGAAGTTCAGTATATTAATGCACCACATGATTGTGCGCGAATGGCGAGGCCTGTCAATGATCCCATAGCCAAACAGGAATACCACACCAGCGGTAAGTTGTGTAGCAGTTGATCCCGTTGCAACACTCATGGGTTGTTCTGTACACTTTGCCATCGTTCTAGTCTCATACGCATTCGTTGTCGTGTCAAGGATCCAGTAGACATTGTGACGTATGGCTTGTTGTCCATTTGACCAGGGGCATGTCGAGCCGGGCAGGAATATAGCTCTCTCCTTTCCCAGTATGGTTTGTAAAACAACACCATTCGTTGTACAGCCCAACATTCCTGGCAGACTGTAGGCTGTAGGCAAGGAAGCATCGTATATTATCTCCTCCGTGAAATCATTACACGCGCATTCTGTGCTCTCGGCCAAGCTGGGACAAGTAGAGAAGGTTGCTGCAGGCCGTATGGTCCACTCCCGCCCCAGTGTCCCAAAGAAAGCACCGACTCCGCCACCAATTGAGTGATAAGCATAGTTTAAAGGCAATCCAGTATTTCTCCAGGTATTTATGAACTTGGATTGATGGGTCAGGATTCGTCGACAGGATATTGTGCTAAATGGAGAGATAATATCATGGTTCTGTGGCACACTGCATACCTCAAGCACACGCAGAAAGTTCCGATCAGAAAAGTGTAGGAGAATCTTTGATTCGTTCGCAAACAAGACTGCGCTTGGCCTGTTCTTGAGCGCCAATATGTCTGTTGTGACAGAGACTGGAAACAACTTTCGGCCATGTCCGGAAATGCGACATATGCTTGTGGCGTTGTTTTGACGAGACGCCCATGCACGCTTTTGGACTTGGAAGACCCAGAACGTGCAGTAGCTATCCACATCCGGTCGTTTGTTCTTTCTGGGATAGTGCACTTTATACGCTGGTACTCCACCGTACACAATAATGGTGTTGTTGACTGCAAGTAAGGATTGGAAAAGAAGAGGACGAGGGCGAAAAGGCGAATGAACCTGTTCTACCTCTCGCCATTGAGTTCCTTCTATATGATCTCCCGTCGTACTTAGAATGTGCATGTATCGCAGGCTGGAGGAAATCGTGCAATATTTATCCAGTTGTGGAAGTTTGATCAATGCCGGTAGATCTTTGATGCACACAAGGCCACCGTAAGAAAACAGCCGATACGTATTGGCGTGCTTTTCGTCATCTCTCAAGGTCACAATTGACTGAAGATATCTTGCACTGCCCGCACTCACCTTTGGTGTATGCACTCTTCGTAGTTGCATATCTCTCCACACGAACATCATGTCGCATTCTGGCCAGGGTCCGAAGTCGTAAAGGATCAGGTCTCTTCTGTTAGGTGATGTGGCAAGAGCGGGTGCAAAATACGAAGTACGTTGACACGGCGCGCTAAGGTCCGGGTATGTCAACTCCGCCACGTTCCTCCATGATCTCACACCAGGATAAGACACGTCCATTGCAATAAGGGTGTCCGTGCGTTCCAAATAATTTTTCTGTCCAAACATCAGCATCACAATATGCTCAGCCACACTGTAGCGAGTGGACTGTAGAAGAAGAGTGCCGGCTGGCGTGGAACGGACAAAGGCATTGTTCAGCACCGGAGGGTAAAGCGTTGTTGGATACTGGTAAATATCGCGGAATTTAAGTCGTACTGGGAGGCGGCTAAGGCTGGTGTCCGCAACTGTTTCATGGACGGCTCCAGCACCACTACTACTTACCAGAAGAACTGATGCGAACACATCTAAAACCACGACACAGAAAGTTCTCCACGCTGAGGAAAACATCTTCAGGATTGTCAAGAGGGGTGACACGTCCAAGCTAGCCTTTCTGCGCGTGTTCAACGTTCTACGGCCAACTTATACCCAGCAAAACGCCCTAAGTAAGGTGGTTATGTTTCTCAACACAATTGTATAACCGGTTGTTACTGGGATGTTCTGGCTCTACGTGTTCTCTTATACCCAATCTTTTAACAAGTAGTTGCATATTATTATCATTTGCAACTAGCGCTGCCTCCTATTCCATTATTGTTGTCTGATGATTGGTTCAGCCATGAAACTCTGAGGCATAACGGAATTTGTCCAAGGTTTTCATTGTGTGCCTTTGTGTACGCCGCTCTGCCTGAATCAGGTATTGAAGGTTATCACTGTGTACCTTCGTGTACACCGCTCTGCCTGAATCAGGTATTGAGAACTTTCGCAGAACCTAAGCATTCTGCCTCTGTGTATCATTTGCTATTAAAATATCGACGTGGAGACAACAACTTTAAAATTATTCCTACATATATTTAATAGAGTACAAGGGATGCAGACGTGTTCCGCTCTTCAGTGGAGCCCATCTATTCAATAACCCATTTTACATATGTTTTTAAAATGATGTATTATTTTTACCTGAGTTCCATTTCCTCCACTAATGAGCGGAACACGAAAATCGCGAATCTGGAAATACAATTGTACTTGCATCCGGTGTTATTGTGATTGTTATGTCTGCATCCCTTATTCTTTGAAGTACTCTATTATCTCTGATTTCCTAATACTTTGCAATACTCCGTGAAGTCAAAATTTGTAATTACTCTATTATTATAGCAATAATTATTGTTATTGAATATTATATTAATTGAAGACTCCCAACAAGCGAAGGCGCCTGCTGAAGGGAACCCTAGGTGAGTTCTGATCAGTGTGGCGGTGAAATTTAGCAGGTGACGTAGCTTGGCGACAGTCCGCAGGTAGAGCATTCCAGAAAGCTGCACCATAATAACGAATTGAAAGAAAGCCATAACGAGATGCAGCAGTGGACAAAACAAGGGCGGAAGTGGTCTGGCCTCTTGTGGCAGCATTGGTGCGAGAGCCAGCAGATCTCAGCGTATACAGACGGCAAAGAAGAGAGCTGGCCAATCCCAAAGTAGAGAGCTGGCCAATCCGCATATATAGGAAAGAGAAGAAATTCCCGAGCAGCGTGCATGGTTTTTTTTTTTTTTTTTTTTTTTTTACTGAATACCACAGTACCATCAGATGCTGCACAGCGGGGGCGGTGGCATATTGGATGGAAGTGGGGGCGGGGCAAAAGTAACTCCTCCGACCAAAGGTCTCGGAATCATTGTTACTCCTGTGCGCCGATACATAGGAGAAAAGAAACATGTGCATCCAAGAGGGGAGCACTGGCTTTGCAAACGATAATGGGGAGAATTTGAGATTGGGATAGGACAAAACAATAGTAAAAGCAGTGCACCGTAGGGAGATGGAGTGAACTGATAATCGGGTTTTAAGGCTGAGCGAAGGGGATCAAAGAGGGGTAGAAGGGAGCTGGAGTGCGGTCAGTATAATTAGGCTGGTCTGTTGGCAGAGATCATAGCCTGTCTGTGGCCCACTCCCACTTGCTGCGCCGCAAGTGGTCGTTGACGTTTTTCTTGAACGTGTGCATGCCTCTGCGAGAAGGGGGAGACTGCAGAAGGGTAGGTGGGAGCTGATTCCACGTTTCGATGAGGGAGTGGGGAAATGAGCGGAGCGTGTTGTTTCGTGCCTGAGGGGGAAGGATACTGGTGAGTTGCGATGGATGATGTGTTGCAGATCTGGTTGTCGCTCGAGTAGGCATGCGGTGTTGCGGTGCGGCTGCTGATGGTGGCAGAATGGCTTTCACCATTTCCGGACCCTCCACAAAGTGCAGCTTGTACAGAAAGCAGAGCCCTGCTACGGTACGGCGAATGTCGAGGCTCGGGAGGTATGCTCCATCTCCAATTATGTGCAGGGCACGGCGCTGGATGGCAGTGAGGCGGGCCAAGGTGGTGGGGGCTGCGCTCATCCACACCAGCATGCCATACTCTAGCACCGGGCGGACAAAGCCACGGTACACGGTTGCCCGGTGCTTTGGGTCTAGCACAGCCGATGCCTTACGGAGGAAGCCGAGCCGCTGGGCTCCGCGTACTGCAAGCTGTCGGATATGGCTGCGGAATGCCAGCTGCCTGTCGAAGGTGACGCCAAGAAGCTTGAGCTCCTCTACTTCTGGCACGACTGCTCCTTGGAAGCGTATTGCGTTCGGGGGGGGGTTGGCGAGGGTGCACGCTGTCCTCTACTCGGGAAGCAACGTATGATCGATACGAGTCACTGCATACAAGATACGTATGATTGATACGAGTCACTGCATACAAGATACGTCTGATCGATACCAGTCACTGCATACAAAATACGTATGATCGATACGAGTCACTGCATACAAGATACGTATGATCGATACGAGTCACAGCATACAAGAAAACAAAAAAAAACAAAGCGTCTCTGTAAGTTTGTATCCCTGGTGATGGTTTGGCCTGGAGAGCAGTATAAAAGTGGTGCTTTTCAGGCACAATCTTCCTCAGCCTACTCAAGCTCAACTGATGAGGGGTGAATTCCCCCAAAACATTGTGTATTGAGCAGGGAGTGGTGCTTTCTTTCAGGTTTGCAGAGCGGAAGGTGCGACGTGCTCCTCGTGTGCTCCGGATGGCAGTCGTGAGTCAGTCAAGTGTCAAGTTCGGCAAGAAGCGTGTGCTCCTCGTTGGAGCAACCATCTTCATGACTATTACCGCCGAAGTCGCAACTTCTAAGTTAACATCTCAAGATTCGGTGGAAACACCGGCCAATGTTAAGAGAGTGGGTGATTGCCAACCACGGCGATAAATAAATATGAGGGGAGGGAAAAGAAAGATATCGGTTTTTGATATCGGTTCCGATGGTATATCTCTCGCCTCCGTACGATATTGCAAACTTGCCATATCGCCTATTTTCTGATTGCGTTTCCATGGCGACTACAGGTGATGACGCACATTCTGGTTAGCTCCGTGAGAGAAAAGGTCGATCA